TCCTTAGCCTTGGAATCATTGAACACTAAAACACCTTCCCTTGCACTAGACCACTTGTCATCATTCTTGTGATTCAGTTTGTCTCTACCAGGTTATAAGCACACAGGGAATACCACCTTTAAATACCATCACCACCTCCTCCCATGCCCAGGCCTCATTGTCCCTCTGACAGAGAACAAGGATTTCTTGGCTCTGATGAAAAAATGTCATCCCCTTTCATGTGGCATTTGTTTAGCCCTTTTCCAGTTTGTTAAAAGGGAAATTCTATCTTTCATATATAATCTTTTGGTCAAATAAGTTTGACAACCATCCCAGGATTTGAATTTTAAGAAACTAGCTTTAGACTTGTAGAAATCAGAGGAAGTCCTAGTTCTTACCAGAATGATAGGAAAGCCTAGAAGGAAGTAACCCCTGCTCATGAGGCTTCTAATACCTATGCCTACCCTTATGCAGAATGTTATATAGGCCCTGGAATTGAGGACTTTTTCTTTCGTGCAAAAAACAAATAGAACAGAGGACTGGGAAGAGGAGGGCTGAAAGAGACTAAAACAAGCCCTCCAGCGCTATTTTCAGTGCCCTTCCATATCCCCAGGCAGATCATATACTAGACACCTATATTACCAAGGAGATTACCTCACCAGTGGATGTAAAGTCTTAGTCTTAACTAAAGTAGGGTTCCACCCTTTCAATATAAGTCTCTCATTACTGACTGTAGGGAGCAGCTATAGGGTTAAGCCTTGGACTGACCCGTTGGCATAGCCACAAACAAGTCCCAGCTTAGAGGGCATAGCCCTCTTAGAATAATTAGACTTGACCTTATGAAGCTCCTTAGATCTTATCTGGGTAGCTAATGGGCTGTTGGAGGTGGGGGGGTGGGGGGTGCAGCAAGTGCTGCCAAAACAAGTGAAACTCACAAGAACATTGTAACTATGGTGACCACTAGCTTATTTATCTCTGACTATAAAATAAAGGCTCAGCTTGCTGTCTGGATCTCTCTCTCTGGCCTCAGCCAGGCACAGGAGATCCACCCAGACCCAGCTTATTCTCTTTGTCTTTTCTACATCCTTCACCACCCCCCTCAGGCTCACCAAACCCTTGGTTAAGCTGGCCCACCACAACTGACAGACTGGGGAGGCCAGAATGAAGAAGATAGATCTTTGGATAGTGAGGGCATACGTAAGAATAAGACCGTAGTTCTTTGTATGCTCCTTGGTGCTCTGGGTGGTGGCCACCCCAGAGTTTAGGGTACTGGCCAAACTCTCCCAGCCCTCGGCCTAGAGACACTTCCTTTTAAACTCCTCTAGGGAGCTTGATGGGTATTTCAAAAACATTAGAACCATCTCAGACACTTTCAATCAGGGACATGGGTTAGTACAGGCTTCCCCACATCTGGAGTAGGATGCGTGCCTGGTAGGACACACTGGTAAGTGCACACAGTCCAGTAGGTCAGTTCTGTTAAGTGGGATTATTACCCTAGATCTTGCCAGTAAATGCAACTAGTTTGGCAGATCCTCTTTTGTGTTCGCACACAAAGACGCACTAATCCTACATCATTTATCTAGGAGGGGTGCCCCAAACAGAGAAGGGAAGATCACAGAGGCTGCTGGACATCCTTTTGTGTGTTTTCATACAGATGGGAAGCACTTCGTCCACACCCTGTGCAGATAGCCCTTGGGAAGCATTCGACGCATTGGTACACATTCAACCCTCATACTCTTAAAGAGAAATGCCTGATTTTCTTTTCTACCCGGGCTTGGCCTCAATATTATCTGGCAGATAGAGAGAGACATAGTCCCCAGAGGGAAGTGTTAAGTACAATACCATCTTGTAATTAGATCTTTCCTGTAAGAGGGAAGGAAGTAGTTTAAGTTCTCATATATCCAGGCTCTCTTTATTTTAAGAAATAATCAAAAATTAAGTCAGCAATACAAAATTGAACCATAGCTCTTGACAGCCTTGACCCAAAACAAAACCAGAGCATCAAAAACCCCTAGGAAGGTAACTGGGCCTGGTGGCCCACAAAATACCCCTAAGCTATCTTGTCCTCCTAATAATATAGGACCC